TTATTATTATTATTATTATTATTATTATTATTATTATTATTATTATTTCTTCTCTAAGTCACTTCTCATCTATAGTTTTATTGATTTCAGGTAAGGATGAATTGGATATTCCTGTGATCTTCTGGGATGAATCCTACATAATATATAGATGCTTTTATTTCTGATGCACAAACTAAAACTCAACAAAATAGATTACCAGGGCAGCACTCCATTGATTTCATGTCCCCTTATTTTTCCTGAGCAGGGCTGAATGCTTTATCTATAATTCAGAAGGCTACAAACCTGCTGGCTCCTGAAGGACTCCACAGGTCCTGAAGGAGATGCTAAACTATCACTCTACAGTAGTAGGAATGCTGTTTTCAGTTGTTGCAACAAAGGAGGCCAAAAATGTTTCTGTTTTCTTGGGCCTCCGTCAGAGACACAGCCAAGGTTATGGCACAAAAATGCAGGCTTTTAAGGCAGCTTGTAAGATTCCAGGCAATGCCTGTTGAATGCACACCGTTCAATATTTTGAAGTCCAGGTTCCAGCAAAACCTACAGCAATATGGCTGTGGCTTGACTATAAAAGGCATTTATTATGCTTTGCCAAGTTATAATATTTAAATATTTCTTCGTGAAGGGGGAATCTGGGTGATCTATAATCTAAGCACATACATCATGCTAAACCAAAGTTTCTTTTATTTATTTATGTATTTATTTATTCATTTATTTATTGGTATTCCTCGATTACAATGGAGCCCAACATTTCTGTGGCTAAGCAAAACACTTGTTAAGTGAGTTTTACCCCATTTTACGACCTCTCTTGCCACAGTTGTTAAGTGAATCACTGCAGCTGTTAAGTTAGCAACACTGTTGTTAAGTGAACCTGGCTTCCCCATTGGCTTCGCTTAACAGAAGGTCACAAAAGGGGATTGATCACGTGACCCAGGGGACACTGCAACCATCATAAATATGAGTCAGTTGCCAACGGTCTGAATTTTGATTGTGTGACTGTGGGGGACGCTGCAATGATCATAAGTGTGGAAAAACATTCATAAGTCACATTTCTCACTGTTTTTGTAACTTTGAATGGTGACTAAATGAACTCTTGTTAAGTCAGGAACTACCTGCATTCATTCATTCATTCCATTCATTTGATATTACACTATTACATATTACAATAAAATGATATTATTTATTTGATATTACTCTAAGCCATCATGTTCATGTTTGTGTTAAGTTCACAAATAAGTGGTTCACTTATAATTTTACAATTAAAAAAGTACATGTTTTTACTGTAAAAAAAAAAAGGTGTTTTCTAAACCATAATAGTCTGCAAATCCAGCCAATTATTATTTCTTCAGCAAACCAATATTAAGCAACCCATAACTTAAAAGTCCTGAGATTCCTTTTCATGGTGCACAGACGTTTGAACCAAGCAAGGATGAGAATCTCTCAGAAAGTTTTTGAAATTTATCACAAAGACTGAACAAAGCAAAATGTGAACCTGCACAATACATTGTCTCATAAATTAATATTATTAATATTATAAAGAAGTAGTAGTAATGGTGGTTTATAAATTGATTAGTCTTATATCCAGCTTAAATAATAGATTACTAGTCAATATATTTTTAAAATAAAAACTAAGCGTACAGGAAATCTCCCATTTCTAGCTTCAGCGCTAAATTACTTTTACTGGTAACCCAGTTGAGAAGAAGTGGTTTGAAACACTGTGAATATCCAACTCTTTGGCTCTTTGGCAAGAAAGAAGAGAAAAAATTTTCTAGGGGACAGGCAGAAACATGTCACATCCTGTAAATCATGTTCCTCCTGCTTCTAAATGATCTAACTGTAGTACACAAAACTGTCTGCTACAACGTCTTGCCTGTCAACAACTTCTTCAGCTTCAACTACAATTATACATGGGCAAACAACCGATACAAACTCAAGGTAAACCGCTCCAAACTCAATTGCAGAAAATACGACTTCTGCAACAGAGTGGTCAATGCCTGAAATGCCCTACCCGACTCAGTTGTTTCAGCCTCAACCCCTCATAGCTTCCACCTCAAACTATCTACCTTGGACCTCTCCCCATTCCTAAGAGGTCCTTAAAGGGGGTGTGCATAAACACACCAGCATGCCTACCGTCCTTGTCTTGCTGTCCCAATTTATCTGTATTTATTTCTTTTGTTCATGTTTATGTTCATACCTACATTTGTTATCCTGTATATATTTGACAAACAAATAAAATTAATAAATTAACTTCTCAGATGAATACACTTGGAATCTGCTGCTACTTTCAAAGAACTTGTCAAGGTTTTCCTAGTCTATATTAGATATTCAATTGCTGACAAAGGGCTTGTCCAAAGTCAACTAGCCAACACTTCCATGAGTGAAGGTGGCCTTGAAGCCTGGTTTTTCCAGTCTGAGTTCCAGCATTTTATCTCAAAAATATATATACTGGTTCTCTCTTTTCTACAGTTTATTAATTAGTTCCCTATGTACTAAACAGAGGTATGTGAGCTGTTTCATTTAATCAAATGCCCCACTTGAATCAATATGCTTTGAACATTTCAGATTGATTCAGATGTCTAGATGTCCAACACAAAACCCAATTCGATCCACGTTAGGTTACTGAAATCCAGCGGTGCAGAAAGAGATCCAAATTTTCAGACTGATGAGCTATTCTGAACTGTGCATCAGATAATCCCACTCCTTGAATAATCCACTCCGGTTGCTATTTTGAAAATCGGAACAATTTAGCATGGTTACAGCTTTGGAACAGCTACTCGATGGAAGCATATCCCAATCTTGCCAGTTTCCAGGTGGGTGGACTTCAAATGCCTGAATTCCAAAGCCAAGTCTGGCCATTGATAAGAATTCTAAGAGTCCACTAGCATGCCAATTGTTGGGAAAAGCCACTCTTTGATGTTTTTGCATCTACAAATTAGCACAATATCTACAGATAGTGCAATATTAATGCAATATCAGGGGTTTTCAATTCAGTGTATAGAATATGAAGGATGTGTGTGTTTATTTTTCAGTCATAATGTACACTGAGGATGGTATTTAATTTAGTTGTACGAGGTGCAATGACAATAAACTAAACTAAACTAATCATGGGAATGCTTCAATGGAGAAAAATGGTCATAAGTCACTTTTTCCACTTTTTCTTTGGAAGAGCCTTATAGAAAGTTCAAAACATTCTCAAAGATCCATCTCATCCTGGGCACCCCTTTTTTTTTTTTTGAACTATTACCATCTGGCAGACGGTACAGGATAATAAAAACAAGGACAAATAGACTGAAAAACAGCTTCTATCCCAGGGCAGTAACTCTACTGAATTCTACTGTATAGTGCAATATTAATGCAATATTGGGGGTTTTCAATTCAATGTATAGAATATGAAGGGTGTGTGTTTGTGTTTATTTTCATAGTCATAATGTACACTGAAGATGGTATTTAATTTCATTGTACGAGGTGCAATGACAATAAACTAAACTAAATTAGCTGTTATTGCAAATGGGAAAACCTTTTAAAGTTATATTTCAGAAGAGGCAGTGGTGACATGTCACCAGCATTTTGCATAGCCCCCCCCCACTTTTTTAAAAAAATTATCCCTTCTGATTTTCCTCTCTCACTTGCAGGTAAGCTCCTCCTGAATGAAAACTTACAGTTCTGTAAGCCTCAGCGTCTTGAAGAGTAACCACGAAAGAGTGGTCAGCCGGTTACCTGAGAGATTTCTGGGGAGAAAAAGAGAAAGAATTTACGATCAGTCAGTCATCCCCTCTTCTTTGCAACTTTGTTATCCTCTGAAAGCAAATAGTGTAAGTTGAAACACACAAAAAAAAGCCCAAAATAGTTAGAACTGAATATATTGCAAGTTTGGAATTAAACCAGAATTCCCCTTGCATTTAAATCTTAAAAGGAGAACAATAAAGTTGAGGGAAAATTGACAGCATGTGAAATGTTCTCTCTGATCATGGACAGTGAATGTTATTAAATTAGGAAGAATCTGTTAGCTGCTATTTCCAAGGATTAATTATTTTTAAAAGAAAGAAGAATGTAAGTAAGCAAATATTGATAGAAATAGCATATATTCCAGCCATTTTTAAAGTTAAGTTCTATGCCCAGAATAATCCAAATTATTTTTATACGTTCATCAGAATCCAGCAACTGACAGAAATTATCCAGATTAGCAATCTATGTATATTACTTTATGGTTTTTTTTTTTACTTATTTCATTCCAAAATATTTACTATTCCAGACACTGCAGGCAATTCATGTAAGTTTCATTGCTTCTAATTCATTGTCAATATATGAGCAATACACAGTAATAATAGTTCACCACTAAAGTTATCTGTTATAAAAAATATATAGTTATGTCAATGGATAAACACATAATGTACATAAATATCTGGATATAATTTGAACATTTATGATCTTAAAGAAGTCTTACTCTCTTATCCGTAGTTGTTTTAATCTTCATAAGGAGACAATACTAACATAATCTTCAAGGTTGTTTCACCAATTCAAATATAATTATCGAGTTTCCTACATCACAGTGATTAAGTTCCAATGTGATTTGCTTTGATTTTAGTATTAGGTGTCAAATGTACTCGGTTATGTCTTGGGGCTATGTGTGATTCTAGTCATTGTGGTTAACAAATCATGGTCAATGAAGTCACAGCTTAACAAAATTTGTAAATCCAATCAAGGAATGCAAAGCTATGAGGAAAATTAATGCAATATAGTACAATATGGTATAATTCAGTAGGGTAAAGTAGGGTATGGCAGGGTAGGGTAAGGTAGAGTAGGGCATGGTATCTTATAGTATCTAATGACATAGTAACCAGACCAGTTTACCAGACTGTTAAATTCCATGGACTTTGCATGCATGGATCAAATTTTTACAGTGTTTTAGTTTATTTGGCTAATAACATGAGTTTGACATTTGAATGATATAATGTGTATCAATTATGTTATGACATGTACAGAATAACCCTTGAGTAACAAGGATATGCACATGGAAACATTTATGAGAATAGTTATGAATAACTATCCAGCCACACACAGATATACTAAATTGAGTTAAAGTTTACTTTAAGAAATAGCACAGTCCAATAAATGGTCCAGGTCATATATATTAACAGTCAAAAGAATATCCAATTACAAAGTCTTTTTACCGGTTGCCTTTGTCATTTACAGTAAACAAAGATATCAAAGTATAAGCACAGCATAAATACAACAGAGAACCTTAGATAGCAACAGAATGTCAGAGAGACAGAATGTCAGAGAGAACAAGCTATGATCTCTTGCTCCCTCTTATGGTAATTTGCAATATAATCAATCAATTGGAAATAGTATAAATCAATAGAGTGATTTTGTCTACAAACATACATTGTTGGTTTATATATTGCCAACCAACTAATTGGTGGACAGATTCTGAACAAATTACATAGTTTGTTTAGTGACATCATCATGCAAATTACAAAAACAAATGATGCAAATTATGTACATCACCCTAATAATATCCGTTCTCCAATTTAACCATCAGCAATTAAAGTCATACAAAGTAGAAAACAAATATTTACTCCATGAAATGACATAACAAAGTTCCTGCTTGTAGCAATAAAAAGTTTGTAAGCAGTCTTTATGTTGAAGAGCATATTTTTAAGATCTTTGGCCTTCTGCTTCCGGTTTGAGCTTCGTCTCTGCGAGGCTTCGATCCATGCTCACTGCTGGAGCACCCCGAGCCGGCTGGTTTCGGGGCTAAGCCACCCTGTAGAGGTGGTGAAGAGGGGGGAGACTGCCAGCAGGGTTGAGGAGAGCTGCATCTCTCCTCCCCAGCTGGCCATTACTCCCTTTCCTGAAGGCGGTTGCAGCGGTGGTCAGAAATAGCCACCACAAAGAAGAACTCGACCAGAAAAGAATGTGCAGGAGGAAGATAAGAAGAAAAAGTTTTGGTTGACCGGGTCAAACAGCAAAAGCAACAAATAAGGTACCCTGGAATTGAAACTGTTAAAAAACAATAACATTGTTCCCTGAGAAGATTTTTAAGCTGCGAAGGAGAGAGAAAAGGGAAAAGATTTGGTTTTCTCTTTTTCCTATACTGACAGCTAAGAGACTTAAGTAAGAAATTGGAAAAAAAATCCACTTTGACATCAATAGGTATTTAATGCTGAAAATAAAAAGTCAAAGGGATAATAAAGATTTCTGGATAATTAAAAGCTTTTGAAAACAGGAAAGGAGAGAGGAAGAATAAAAGGGTAGGATCTGGAAGGGAGGAGACTGCCTGGAATTAAAAAAGAACTTACAGCAAAATCTCAACAAGACTTCCAAAAGATACATTCTAACTGAAATATCGCAACAAAAACCCCAGGAAGAGAAAGTCAAAAAAGAAATAAGAAGATATAACTCGGGACTATCTGGATTACTTGATGATTTCTGGATTCTTGGTTATTGTTTTGAATGACTAAAATCAATCGGGTGGTTGTTTAAAACTGTTTAAAATGGCTCCACTTTTAGAAGAACTGAAAATGGAACTTAAAAAGTACAAAGAAGATGCACAAGAAGGGAGAGGTTCTTTTGGCTTCGTATTTCAGTTTTTAGAAATGGAGATTTGGAATTATGAGAAACAACAAGAAATGCCTGCAGAACAAGAAGATTGCGACAAAGAACAAGCCATCTTTAATGAACAAGTAATCTTAGATGGGGGGAAAAAAGGAAAGGGGAGAAAGAGAATGGAAAGTTTAAGATTGGGAAAAACAACTCCAAAAAAAATAGAGTGAAAAATAAGTATAAAATCAGAAAGCAACAGAAGAGGGAAATGCAGAAGAGAGAATTAGAACTAGAGAGACAAGGGGGTAAAAAGGGGAGGGAGAAGATGAGAGGGAAGAAAGAAAGGAAAAGAAGTTATAAAGGACAGAAGCAAAATATAGAGAAACAGGGTCTATTTAGAGATAATGGGTGAAAACTTAATGGAAAAAGGGATTCTGCAAAGGTACATAAGATAGTATGGTTATATTAAAAGCAGAAATAATTTTAGAAAATATGAAACAATGTATGATTAAAATGTCTGATAAAATAGCTATCGTAATTCAGTGGAATGCTTGTCAATAAATAAATGTAACAAAAGGTATATTTAATGATTTATAAAACATATGTGAAGAGAAATAAAGGAAAAATTAATTATGGAGATTATATGTGTTTTTAAGGAAGTATGGTATTTAATTGAAAAGAAGTGTTAAAGATGTTATGGTTTTAATGATTATTAATGATAGAACTGAACTGGAATGGAATGAGGGTTTATAATTACATATATTTACAATCTTTCTTTTTTTAAAAAGAAGATAGTGTGTATTATAAGAATGTGCCAAGCAGAATTCGATTGGAAGTTATGTATTATGTATTATATTGAAGGTCATAAACTTAAGGTATATATTGAAGTTTAAATAAGAGTTGAATGGATGTAATTAAAAGATATAAAGGTGTCATACTCCAATTAGTAACTACAGAAGAAAATTTGTTTAATGAGAAAAGATAATATAGAAAAATAGAACAATGTATAAATATAATGATTTGAATTGAGATGAGATAATCAAAATAAAATTGAGAAAATTAAAAGAGGGGAAAAACTATATAGAAAATGTAAAATAGTATAAGATATGGAATAGAATACAAAAAGGAGCATGAAATTGAGTTTTGTGTCTGTATAAAGAAGTTCAACCCGGGACCATGCTATTTTCAAAAAAGATGTTTACTTGTATTTTGTGTGTGAAAACCCAAAATAAAACTTTATTTTAAAAAAAAGATCTTTGGCCTTCTGCTTCTCACTCTACAATGTGTGTAGTCCAATGCAAACCTTAGCATCTTAAAACTAGAGGAGATCATAATAATCCAGGTGGCAGATTGGATATCAAAAACTGGGAAGATACCAGAAAGGCAACTTTACAAAATCAGAGTAGGGAATTTTAACAAAGAGGCCTTCCTTTGTTTCTTGCATCTTTGTCTTATTCATGTTGAGATTGTTGCCATGGCAACCTGAGATCAACTTCATAAAGTCCCCACTCTGGCTGGGAAAGGCATAACTCCTCCCCTAAAGTGTGAAATCTGTTTACCCAAGGAAGTATTTATAAGCCAGCATCCTCAACTGCCCCACCCCCTTTACTCTTTTTCCAATATAGTTTGGGCAAATATTTTGTTTAAAGGAGAGAGGGAAGAGGAGAGAAAGAGAGAAATTACAATAAAGAATGTTTCATTTGTACAATGAAATTTAAATACTTTTGAGTTTGTTGACCCATTATATATAGACCTCTGTATGTAAATATTTTAAAGCATTAAGCATATAATGTAAATCTATAAAGATTCTCAGTCATTTTACTCTGCAAGGTATATAAATCCTTCCATTCCCCACCGTCCAGTCAGCTGAAGAAGCTTCTTGGATGAGAAGTGAAACGTCTTCAAAGAAAAAAACAAGAAAGTCCAATTGCCTCCTGAAAAAGCACCTTCGGGACATACAATGTAAGGATGCATGCTAGACAATGTTTTAAAAATGGGGGGCAATACTCCACTCCTGGCCCTTTTAAAAGAATTATTTAGAAATATTCTTAAAGAAATCCCACCCATTTCCATTCATAAATTTCTGCAGTGTGTTAACGCTTCTACATTTGATGTAAGCTCATGAAGATTTTTTTTTCTTTTATAAACAAATATTCATATTTCTTCCATATAAATATTTTCA